CAAAAAGAAACGCAAGGATATATTATTTTTGCAATACAATTGTCGTCGGTTTTATTATGTACTTATAGATTTTATTAATTAATTTTCTTTTGAAATGAGTACACGTTAGTTACGTAGGTTTCATATAGAACGAGATTATAAAGGTTCACCAGAATATGGCAAATGATTCATCCGTTCTTAACCAAATAATAAAAGGGAAGCTACATATTATTTATTTTTTTTAAATGTTAATTATTTAGAATATACAATTCCTAAGTAGTATACAAAGCTTAAACTTAGGTAAAATTAGGAATTGAATACAATTTTTATCTGTAACGTGTGGAGGTTGAGTTGCCCCCTTGGCCCTTTGTGCGTCTTCTTAAATTCTGTGGCTGGAGCTTAAAAGGTCATAAGTCGTTTTTTACGTAAATGGAGTTTTTAGTCAAGATACGTTTAAAAGAGTGTATATTTCAGGCAATTAAAAAGGATTCAAGTCTATATACATTGTAAAGTAATAAAAATAAGGTATAAAAAACATATATAATAATACAAGGGTAACCGCGGAAGACAAAACGTCATGATTAAACATAAACAGTCAAATTAACTATCAAAAAACAGTGAAAACAAAGTTTGTCTATATATTTTTTAATTTTTACAGGACCACATCTCCTAAGAAGATCGTCGATTTGGATTCTAAAAATCCTTATTGATGTGTCCCAAAATTTTCCAACGATATTCTCCAAAAATGTGTAATATTACTTTTTAAGCGCCGACCACAGAATTGATAGGCACCTCCTAGCTCGTGAGCCAGCCCACAAATTTAATGTTTACAGGGTTGGGATAAAGTATGGAACCAAGTAAATATCTTTAAAACGAAAAGGATATTTATGAAAATTTGCAGGCAAGTACAATGACGCATAACGCATCTGATGCTATATTTTTGTTACTACTGTATTCCCGGTTTCACCGGAAATCCCCTCAACTTTTTTAATTTAAAAGGGACACCCTGTATATTATACAGATTTTAAAAGATCTTATTATTCCGGTAAGAATCCTTTCTTGTCAACAGTATTTTGAACAAAAATAAAAAAACGTGTTTTAAAAAAGTAGAATTGTTCAATACACCTTTTTTAATTTTTGATCAAGAAAGTTTCGCTGTTCGCAAACTGGTTAATTAATCTTTTTTGAAAAGCATATGCCTATAAAGACTACTAAAATAACTAATTACCATTTACTATTTTATGATTAAAATTAAATTAAAATTATGAGATTATCCATAAAATGTATTTTACGTATATTTTAGAATGTCTTAAATATTTCTGCATCTCTACTGAACTTATGCAAAAGCCATAGACGTTTGTCACAATTCATATCCATCATCATGCATCTTGCAATTTTACATATTGATCTATTCACTCGTTTGGCCAGATCATTATGTTCAGGGGTGTAAGGAGTTGTTACTTCATGTTTAATATCATTGGCAACAAGGCATTCTTTTATTTTATTATTTGCATATTCTCCACCACCATCTGACTGATTTTCGACAAATGATTTAAATTTTATAAATTTGTCAAATGTTTTATCTTTATATCGCAGAAAATAAACAAAGATTTTTCGTGAAAAATCGTCAGTGAAAGTTAACATGTACTTGGAACCACCAAGTGACTTTTCTTCCATGGGACCGCAAACATCTGTATGGACAATCACTAAGAAATGTTTGGCTCGTCGTCGGTTCGGTCTTCGATTTCTGACAAATGGGACATGAGTTTGTTTCCCCTTAGCACAGGCTGTATAGTCGTCAATATGTTGAAAAAGTTCAAGACCAGAAATTAACCGTTTGATTTGCCTCATATGTTGGTTGCCTAAATGACCAAGGCGTCTATGCCATATGTTAGCCGTTATAGCATCAGTTTGAGACAGTAAGGAGGTATGTATAAGTGGATTCTTTAGATCTAATTTAAACATGTTATTTATTAAGGATCCAGTTATTCTAACTTTGCCTTGAAAAGTGCAATCATTTTTATGATATATTTTACAGCCAGATTCAGTAAAAGTAATTACTTAATCTTTTTTAACTAATTTTGACATAGACAGTAGCTTGGCAGCTAAATTCAAAACATATTGTACATTCTTTATTGTTTTCGGCCAATCTTCAACATTAACTGTAACATCACCAACACCAAGAGATTTTATTTTTTCCTTGTTTGCTAATGAAATTTCAGACTCAATATTAGAAAATCTTGAAAAATATTCTTTCGAATTGGTCATATGAGAAGTGGCTCCTGAATCTAGAAGATCCAACAGTTTAAATCATTTAAATTTACAGCCAAGACAGTATCGCTTTCTGTAGTTAACAGCAAATTCAGAGTAGATTTGCTTTCATTTACTTTCTGATTTTCATTTTCTAATTTTAGTTGAAAACAATATTTTCTTTTGTATCCAAATTTTTGACATTTTGTGCATTTCTATTTAAATCTTCGTTTAGGATTTGGCGTCCTAGATGCTAGAACATTTTCTGACTGATTCTCATCCCGTCTATATCCTTCTGGTAGTAGCTTAGTTTTGACTGTTTCACTAGTGATTTTTATTCCACTGTTGTCCAACGCCATAATCATTGGTTCAAAGGATTCAGGAAGACCATCTAACAGAAGAGATGCTAAATCTTCATCGGCTACAGTGGCATCAATGTCTGATAATTGTTGTGCTATGTCAATAATACTCGAAATATAAGAAGACATGTCCTTATGGTCAGCTAAGGAATATTTTAAAAGTTTTTGACGTAGTTATAAGCGCCCTACATAGCCTTTGGGTCCAAATAATTTTGAAATATTATCCCAGGCTTCTTTAGCACCTTTGGCACTGGAAACATGTACATAAAGTGACTGAGAAACCATTAAACATATTTTAGCCATAGCTTTTATAGTTATTTGCACCGGTTAGCTAATCGATTGTGGGAAGAGAACTACTACTATGAGAAGCCATACTTGTAAATAATAAGTATGTAGTCAGTAGTTGACAGGACTATTAAAATATCTACAGAATTCGGTTTTTCTTTAAACTTTCTTTTACCAACATTGGTATGTTGCAGAAGCATACGTAAATTATTTACATCATGATGCGGAAGAAGGAGAATATTAACTTCAAGAAGCTCTCGAACAAGTTAAATTGCAAAATCTGAAAACAATTTGAATATATATAAAAAAATATAAATATGAAAAATATATAGAAATAAAATAAAATATTTTAGATATTTTATGTAGAGACAAACACAATCAAAATACCTACTTTTATTCAAAAAGATGTCGAAACGTTGATCATACAAAACTCAAAGAAATATCAGTTATTTCAAAGAATCTTTTTTATTACGTTCAATTTTTCCTTTTTGATAAATTATTTTTGAATATGGACAAGGTATTATATTTTATGTCGACTGGGAGGGAATTATACAATTTTGGACAAATACGATCGTTGTCCTACTGGTTTATGAGTACGAGGCACAGTATGGAGATGTTTTTGCCTTGTGCTATGTGGATGATCTGGTAAGTTAAATAGTTGTTTATTTGAATGGGATTTAAAATTAATATTTTAATAAATCTTGTGTTTCAGATACATAATATTTGCCTCAACAAACAGTAAGTTTTAAGGAAACCTGTAGGACATTTTAAGCAATATTTTTCAGAATATTTTTTGCAGAATTTCAAGTGGATGTAAATGTGTTTGTGAAGTACAATCCCACACAATGATGGCATATCTCAAATGACTTTCTACTAAACTATGATACAAGATTTTAAGTTGATGTGGCTGTAGATAATCTCTAAAAATTTTACATTTATATATTATCATTCTTAATTTTTGCATATAAAAGTTGTTCTGTCTTCATTTGAGATATGTATCCACATAAACCACTAGATATTTTATCTTTTATTTAGGGAGAATGGTAAGCAGTAAATGTTAATTTGTTAAATGAAGGTCTTGTTATAATATTATTGCTGAATGGTAAGTTACATAAAACTTTGTATTTTTATTTATTCAAAAATAAATATTTATGTAATTATTAAAAATTTGATATATTATTCACCGAAAAACTCGGACTTAGGACATATAATGTTCTGATGGAGAAGTTGGTAAATTAAATACTTTGTTTTTTTATGTGTGCTAAAAAAGATACCTACCTATATGCGATAAAGTTTTATATTTTGGAAATATAGTAAATTTAATACCTAAAGGAGACAATTGTGATAAAAAAAAGACCTAATATCATAAAATGAATCAATAAACCAATGTTATTAGATATTAAAGGAAACAAAAAAAAATATAAATTATCTATATATCGTGTGGTCTGTAGTCAGTTTACTCAATGAAAGAACAAAATCTCACATATAAATTACACATTCTTTATAACTTATTTTCTATTAATTTTGTTCCATTATTTATTTCAGTAACAACCACATTTTTAGTTCAAAATACAATGAATCTTATGTTCAACACACTATCATCAATACCTACAGGGTGTTCCATCTCAGACGAGCCACCCCGTATATTTCTTATCCCATAGTAATTGGATACACGTCGGATGATTTTCTTTGGGGGACACCTTTTGACGTATATTTGAGGCTTGAACAAGCAACCCTCCATGAGGACGCGCTTCAACCCCTCAAAATTGAATAGGTAAGAGGGGTTGAGTGATACTTCATTTGTAAGATCTTGGAAGCCTCTTTACAATGGTGTATGAAAAAAATCACATTCTTAAAAGAAATTAATTGTTTTATCATGCTTACAATCAAAAAAATCAAAACTGCGTTTTAAAATCAAATGTTCAAATTGTCCTCCATTGACTTCCATACAATAATAAATTCTCTTGAACTAATAAATAAAAAAAATTAAAATATTTTCTTATCTTGCCTTCATTTTTTGTTTTTAGAGGGTGTTTATCACGTTTCTTCGATCATTTCATGTATTAAAAATCAATCTGTTGAGTTACTACTTTGCTGATTTGCTTACAATTTTAAAAATAAATTATAATGAACAAATTGCAAGAACGTGTTGAGCTGGTTAGCCTGTATTACCAAAATCAAAATGGTACACGAGCGGCTGCAAGGATATTTAACCGAAACCATACTGAACATAGCGTTCGCCATAAGTACGTAATGCAACGAAGGCAACTGAGATGTATGAAAAGTGGAGGTACTTCCAAAAATATCAAGCTATGTAGGTTTCAGCAACATATGTCGTTTTTGGAAGCTTCTATGTCGACTGAATCTCGTGAAGAAAACGTAAAAGATAGCGATGACGATTCAGAGCCTCCATCTACTCTACCAATAAGCGATGATTTCGAGGAAGTTCCAGAGGGTAATTTAGATGAAGGTGAGGGGCCTCAACAATCCAACACTGCAGATTAATCTAGCTGTCCCCGAGGTTAAAAGAAAACAGGACGATAATATGCAAAGTTTAAAAAAGCTGTCTCTACAGCAGCGGGGTGAAAGAGCAAAACAACGGGCGAAAGAAAGAAAACAATTGTTATCATAGGACAATTCCACAAACGACCCTCTATATAATTTTCTCTCTAAGTACCAACAACCAAAAACAATGCCCAATAATTACTAGCATAGAGTGAGGAGCCAACTTTTTCAGGCTGTGTCAACAGCAAAGGAAGAAATCATGAACATCCCAAGCCAACCAAGCCAACCAAGCCAATCAACTTCGTGACTTCTTCTCATTATTCAGCTATAAGTACTCCATATCCATCGCCTCATAATTGATCAGATTCTCAAAGACAGACGCCAATCATCCATCCTCAAACACAACAACATTTCACAGACCAACCTGGCATTTCTTCTTTGCGAAACATGTGACCGAATTTGAGGAACTTTGATTTTTATAACAAATTGTAATATAACAAATTGCAACAGTGGCGTGCGGTGACATTTTTGGACGGGGAAGCGATTGTATAAAAATACAGCAGGCTAGTAAGCACACCGCCGCAGACGAAACTTTTTCGCGGCGCATTCACCATTTTGTCAAAATTTTGCTTTTTTTTTTCTCAGTATTCGAGATGAGATTTTTAAAGTGTTACTATTACTTTATTATCTAGTTTAGTACTAGAAGCTATAAAAAAAACTACCATTGAAAAGCTTCTTTGGTTTATTTAAACGTAAAAGAAAATATTTAACACAAGTTTTTTTTTTATTTTCTCCAGCATTTTTCGCACAGTTGACACAGCAGTTGACATTTATTTATACTCTATTCGCCTGTCCTCAATGGCTGCAAATTTATCTATAATATCGTCATAAAATTTTGGATTTTCTGATAACTGTTTAACAAGCTGTTATTCAATGGATATTAGGTCTAAATTAGAGAGGCTGTCTTCACTTGTTGAATTTCGTATAAAACTTGTATTGCGCTTTAAAGCTGAAAAATTTCGCTCAACTGACGCACTTGTGGCTGGGATGGTTAGAACTAATTCACACAACTTGACGACTTTACAAAGGGACTTATTTAAACCCGTTGTTATAAGAAAATTTAACACATTGATGGGCGTCTTTTTATCACTAATTTCAATTGTTTCATAAACAACACTTAACTGGGACTTTAATGCTGGAATATCGAAAAAATTTCCATAATTTAATTTTAATTTTCCGATGGAAATTTTGATGAATCGTAGTTACTATTATTCAAATTGCACAATACAACAAATTTTAATTCGTTTAAGTTTTGAAATCGAGAGTTCATTTATTGTAGAATATTATCTGTGGCCGACATTATTAATTCTAATTCTCTTTTTTTCAGGTTCTAAGCCAATGTTTTGAGTCTTATTCCAAAAGTGTTTTTTATTTATTTTATTTTTAAAATCATCAATTTGTTTAATGCAAAAGCTAATGTCACTTGACTTTGTCTGTACTTGACTTTGTCTGCTAAAATGTTTAGCAAAAAATTGAAATCAAAGTTTTGTTTGAGCCAATGCAAATACCCTTTAGCAGCAGTAACAGTCTCAGCATCCCATGTTTTTTTATTATCCCAAACATCTTGAAAAAAGTTTATCAAAGAATCACGGTATTGAAACACTATTTGCACTAAACGTCCATTTTAGTTCCATCGCGTCGGAACAACTTTTGGAAACCTTTTTTGAACGTGAATGTCCAAAGCGCGAGTTCTTTTCGATGACTTTGAAAAGAAGGAAACCAAACCATTAAGCGTCGAAAAGAAAACTTTGCAATCTTTAATATTATACATGCTTCGCGATAATACTAAATTAAGTCTGTGCTATACAGTAAACGAAAATAGCATGCTTAAACTTCTCTTTCACTTTAGCTTGAAATCTACCTAAAATCTAAGATTTTCCTCGCACGTCGATTCACGGTGCGAATTGCAATATGCGTAAGGTGACGTATTAACCGCTGCCTCTCGACCGTAATTTACGTGCGCAAACGGACTGACTACTGTCGTGGCAAAGTAGGGTCAATAACACGAAGTGAAACCTCTTGGAAGATGAACCCGCTCTTTCAAGACGCGCTTCCGCCGACGGACTCTAAGTATATGGTGTAAACGTTTACACAATTCATTTTCTCATGGGTGGTGCGTGTATTTACACATTACACCAATAAATTTTTAGTAAATTTACGAAGTTTACGTAATGTTTCAGAGAAAATATAGTACCTAATTTAATATTAATTTATATTTATTGTAAACTTAAAAATATCTATTTTTAAATTTCAAAGTGTAGGCGACTGGCTTCTGCGCATTACATCCCTGTGACTCGATGTCTTGTTGGATCATCTCATGTACTTTAGCAAACTGGTTTCGATTTTTTCGAAAATAATTAGTAAACTCAGAATCACTCATTTTAGTTGTAATTGTAAATTGTCCATTGTTTTTACTCTTCGATAGAATAAATTTGTTAGGTGATTTAAATTTCGTCTTCATCAAGGAATTAAACAACATTTCCTGCTTAGCATCATCCGATTTTGATTCAGAACTTAAGTTCAATAATGTCAGACATTGTTTCGTTCGTTTGTCAAAAATGTCAGACATTTTTTGATGCCGGCTAGTCGCGAAATGTAAATCAAATTCAAACCCCACCGTTTCCTATTTGAAACCGCGTGTCTCAATATGCGGATCACCACGCAACACATGTAGCACGTACGAGTCGTGTCTCTCGTGTCACGTCAGCTCACACGAGTTATGATCGATGACCCCATATACCTTTTACAGGAAAACGGTATCGGGTTGCCGGCAGTGTTACTGAACCTATGTGAAGTGTGTGTGAATTGCTGACTCTAATTTTTTCTCATAGTAACATTTTAATAAAATAAAGTCAGTCTGATATCATAGCTTGTAACGATAACATTATCATTAAATATTAAATATAATTTATTTTGGGTTTTTATTCAAGCAATAGTAATAAAAATTCTTTTTAAAAACATTCCTCTCAACGAGAGACTTATAAGTCACGTGCTATACGTGTCTCAATTTGCACCTTAACTGCATATCAAAAAAATGGTTCATTTAAAAGAAATGCACTAAATAACAATTCTACAGATGATTGGTTATGGAGATAACACACGGACACAAAAGGAAGTTGCTCGCTTATGTCATGACAAATTTTCAAATTTGCCGCGTATATTCCAAAGGACAATTAGTAAAATAGAAAAGCAGTTTCGTGAGTTTGAACAGGTAAGGAAGATAAAAAACAGCTGCCAATACAATAACTAATGATACCAAACTGGATATTATGCTTCTAGTCGACAAGAATCCAAAAATTTAAAAATGTACAGGGGGTTGCATTTAAAATAAGAAGGTTGGTATTAGCCAATGTTACATGACACACCCTGTATAAAAAGTTTTTGTTAACAAAAATACGCAACTAAAAATAACAATCGATGTATCCGAGCGTTTTTCCGAACATGTCCCCATTTATTTATTACCGAATTTATTCCGTTTGGCTGTTCAACACTGTATATTTTTTGTTAAAGTATATTTTGCAAGTTATTAATTTTACTTTCAACTTCCTATTTGTTTTAAAAATTTTGTACTACAGACCTGGATAGTGAATATCGACCCTATGAGGCCGCAACTAGTCCCACCTGTATTTTATGTAAAAACAATGTGTGATTGATTTTATGATATTATTGGCAAAAGATAGGCGCAAAAACCGTAGAAAAAAGCACGAAAACTATATGCTTTCATTAAAAAATAAGTTTGTTTTCTAAGTAGCGTCTTTAACATTCAACATCTTTTTTATATTTGAATTGAATAAGCTCTTGAAACTGAACGTTGTCGAATTATAAAGCATATCTAATAACATATATTATTTCATTTGACAAAGACCGCAAAAAATATAAAACGTATTTGTCTCCATAAATTTTAATAGTGCATTATCTTTGGTGTGTAAGTGGTAAAAGAGAAAGTAAAAGATGACCCAAGGACGGGTGAAAGTAATTTTCGTCTCACTATAATGACACCTAAACATTAGCGAACTTTGTTATTTTTTGTAACTTTAATTGATGTTGTAATTCCATTCATTCTTTAATCTAATCTTTCAGCCGAGACATGTTCAGAATTCGTTTTAACATTTCCTATTTTATTGTTAGACATTTTCTAGATTACAATGCAAATTACCAAACAATAATGATTATTTGATAGCTCGAAATCAATAAATAACTTTTTTTTATATCCTGACTATTATTTATTTAAACGGAATAATATATAATTTGTACTGTATTGAAAATACAGTGGAAAAGGTAAACGTTTATAGAAATTAACATTAAAGGTTTATATGCTGGTCGTTTTTCATTTAAAAGACCTCGCACATCCCTTTCGGAAAAGTAGCGATCTGACGACAGATGTTATAAATTTTTGATTTGGACCAAAGTGTCCATGACTCTATTCAAATCCTGGTTTTTACCTATTATTCCATGAGAAGGCTAACCAATTGATTTTTTTTGGTATTCCACAAATATAAAAAGGGATTAAAAATATTTTTCTATTTAGGGTGAATCGATTTTATTTGAATCTGATTCATGCACCAATTATTAAAAATACGAGTAGTTTTGTCCAACTAGGTATTAGATACTGTTCCAGTGTCTATATCGGTTCATATCTGAATGGACTTGGGATCGGAAAAAAACTAAAAAACTATTGATGGCATGAGTAATACCGATAATATGCAACTTAAGAATCGTTTATTTCAGAAACCACCTAAGTGCGCTTTCTTCAACTTTCGGAAAACTTAAAAAAACTGTTTTGCAGCTTAAGTATAGGTCTAGTCTCCTTCAAATATTTTTTTACCAAATCAAGAACATGCTATTGGAATAATCTAGTTTGTTAAATTTTTTTTTCCTGTAAGTTTTTAAGTTATAAATTTTTGAAAATTTTTCACTTAGGTGCTTTCTGCAATAAATTA